CAACAATATGTGGCCATATCTAATGGTATATTGTATACCATTACCTGTGTCCAACAATATGTGGCCATATCTACTGGTATATTGTATACCATTACCTGTGTCCAACAATATGTGGCCATATCTACTGGTATATTGTATACCATTATATCAGTGTCCAACAATATGTGGCCATATCTAATGGTATATTGTATACCAAGGGATGAAACAATTTACTGATGCATCAGTGATCACAATTTTACAGCATTTCCCGCTTCAAATGTATTTGTATTATAATAAAATGCACATCTCCAATATTTTTGTTTAATTGATATCCACCCGTGAAAATGCCATTGCCTTGACCTGTGTGACAGATGGTGGATTTTAACAAAATATGCTGCAAAATGTTGAAAAGATAACACAGTATTATATTGTATTTTAACAAATTTGTGAATGTTATTTTTTTAGAAATCAGCAAAGTATTTAAACAGGTCTATTTGCAGATTGTAAATATGTTTAATTATGTTAGTTTATCACTAATAAGTGCATGCTGTAGTTTATATATACTTTGTAATCATGTCACGTCATTTGCATCAGTTTCCGTCTCGATAAGTAAAGCAAGATGTTCTGGAATACTCATCTCCAGGGTACACTTCTCACTCCTGAGGTACAACTCATCCCCAGGGTACACTTCTCACTCCTGAGGTACAACTCATCCCCAGGGTACACTTCTCACTCCTGAGGTACAACTCATCCACAGGGTACACTTCTCACTCCTGAGGTACAACTCATCCTCAGGGTACACTTCTCACTCCTGAGGTACAACTCATCCCCAGGGTACACTTCTCACTCCTGAGGTACAACTCATACTCAGGGTACACTTCTCACTCCTAAGGTACAACTCATCCCCAGGGTACACTTCTCATCTCCTAAGGTACAACTCATCCCCATAGTACACTTCTCACCCCCAGGGTACAATTATCATCCCAAGGTAACAATTATCATCCCCAGGGTACAATTCTCACCCAGAAGGTACAATTATCATCCCAAGGGTACAATTATCATCCCAAGGGTACAATTATCATCCCAAGGGTACTATTCTCATCTCTGGGGTACAATTCTCACCCAGAAGGAAGGTACAATTATCAGTCCTAGGGTACAATTCTCACCCCGAGGGTACACTTCTCATCTCCAGAATACACTTCTCACCCAGATGGTACAATTATCATCCCCAGGGTATACCTCTTGCCCCTGGGTACAACTATCATTCCCATGGTACGATTCTCACCCCCAGGGTACACTTCTTACCCCAGAGATGTTCATTTCTCATCTTCTGGGTACAATTTTTATAATAAACTGTGTCAGGAAATGTCCTTTCAAGCTGTAAAAGTTAATGCTGAGACAAGCGTGTATATTGTAGAAACCAATTTCCTTTATCCATATTTTAACTACCCCTCTACCGATAATGTTATTTTTTATCATTTGAGAAGGGAAGTGGAATGGAGTGGGAGGGGGTTTAAACAAAATCAGAGTTTAAGTCAGGTGTCAGAAAAGTTGGGTTCATACTGGGTAAATATGTACATATAGTAGCGACAAAAAATATTGGATACCAGTCACTCTACTTAGCTATGTCAAATACATATATTTACCACACAAGTGTTTAAGCCAATTTTTAACAAGCAGTGTTAATTATAGTGATATCCGCTCCAGGTAACTTATGCGAAAATGTTATTTGAAATAGTTACCATATTCACCTACTCTATTATAACCCAATTCACTCAAGCTGTTTAAAACAAGAAGTATGTAAATATTACATAAATTCTAGGTATCATCCGAAAAGATCAGGATTTTGACAAATCTAAGTTATCAAATATATTTTACACTTTTGGGTGTCTTCCCATTGTTGAAAACAGTTGGTTCACTAACACTAACCCTGGCCTAGACTACCTCAGACACTAACCCTAGCATAGACTCCATCAAACACTAACCCTGGCCTAGACTCCCTCAGACACTAAGCCTGGCCTACTCCCTTAGACACTAACCCTGGCCTAGACTCTCTCAAACACTAACCCTGGCCTAGACTCCCTCAGACACTAACCCTGGCCTAGACTCCCTCAGACACTAACCCTGGCATAGACTCCCTTAGACACTAACCCTGGCCTAGACTCTCTCAGACACTAACCCTGGCCTAGACTCCCTCAGACACTAACCCTGGCCTAGACTCCCTCAGACACTAACCCTGGCCTAGAATCCCTCAGACACTAACCCTGGCCTAGACTCTCTCAGACACTAACCCTGGCCTAGACTCCCTCAGATACTAAGCCTGGCCTAGACTCCCTCAGATACTAAGCCTGGCCTAGACTCCCTCAGACACTAAGCCTGGCCTAGACTCCCTTAGACACTATAAACACAGGTAAAAAAATTAAAATTAAAATTATACTTCTGTTACATCTGTTTTTCTGTCTTTGAACTTTGAGTGCCTGTGACTGCCAGTATGTTCTGAAGTCACAGTTAATGGTGCTGTGTGTTGTGGTTACATCAAGGTCAAAGTGCAAGGTAGTAATCTTATCAATCATCAGTATTTCTATAGTCGTAGTCTATGGCGCTGTTTTCTAGATACGCACTGATGGGCGTTAACAGGAGTTGTTGATCCTCTTTGGACGGACCAGAAGAAAACGGGAATGAAGAAGACAGGACCATATTTGTGAGAAACTCTGATGACGTTGGCAGATCCATATCGACGCTGAAAATCAGGTCACTCTGAGGTCGCCGTGCCACAACGGTGCGTCGTTGAGAATTCATTTGTAGAAGTTCAAGACGATGTTGTAGATGGATTACTTCCTCGACAATGAGGCACTGCTGGAGGTACTGGGATGGGTTACCTCCCCCTATGATTTGCGCTGGAGCCTGCCAGCGTACGTAGCACTGGGTCCACAGCTTTATCACAGGGGCACTGTACTCCGGCAGAATCACATTCATGTCCTCATCCTCAGTTTCATCAGTGTACATATGATTTAATTTGTATGCATACAACTCGTTACGGTCCATTTTCCGACAAGTAGACAGCACCTTTCTTTTAGATTCCTTGATTGCTTTTTTCAAGTTCACATTGCACTTCATGAGGTATAATGGGTTGTTAAATACGAGTTGGTCGTTACTGCTGAACTGTCGTGACCACTCCCAAACTGGTGGCAGACGAAACCGTCGCATACAGCGACCTTCACTATTAAAACGTGTTTGCTGGTGAATGGAATCGAACAAAAATGTCTCAAACAACCCCGTACTAGCACAGTCCCAGACTGTTGTCAGGTACGTCTCCGACACGGAGAAGGCAGACGGAAACTGCTGCGATATCTGCCACACACAGTCCAGAAACAACAGGAAGAGTGGAACCTAAGGGAGGTAAATGAGGATTTATCAGATTTAAAACATCCCAAATTAAATTTTACAACCAAATTTATTTCCGAAGCAGCTCAAAAATGTCCAAACTATTTCAATTTTTGCAAACACTTATTTTTGTGATTCTTTTTCCACCGACCTATTTAAGGGGATGTAGACACAAAAGGAACAACAAATGATAAGATTGCACATCTATTTGCTTGTGACTGAATAAAAATTTGTCTATAATTAAATTGGTAATGGACTCACACAAAATTAATATCTTTCATAATTTCTCTTACCAAATTTAATGTCTTCATTAGTTTAATTTGCAATCATTTCTCCGACCAATAAAGGAATATCTTCTAATGTAGCTCAATTGAGAGATCTTATCTCATCAAAATGACACCCCTCATCATAGTTAAATTGGCAATCATCTCTCATGAAAAAGAGGATCTTTGACTATTTGACTGTAAATTACTTAACTTTTCAACTTCATATCAATTTAATCTTACCAACTTTCTTCATATGACCTTAAAACCAGCATAATATCATTTTTTTTTAATATTGATGATTTTACCCCCAACTCTTGTCATAAAAGTCGGATATTTCCAGTAATTCAGCCCTTACTATAAATGTAACTCTGTCTGCACAAAATTAGATGTACGTACCTCCTCGCCCCCATCCTGTATGATGAGGCCTCCGTTACGCTGGAAAGGGTAGCCCATGGCCACCCATTCACGTTGTATGAGTGCCTGCAGACCGTTCTGCGTACGACACTGGGGATTCAACATCACCTGGACGAGACTGGGCACTAAACAGGTGAAGTGCCGGCCGTCACCCTCTGTAAACATAAAAATACTCAATACAGTGTATAACAAAATACTCAATACAGTGTATACCAAAATACTCAATACAGTGTATACCAAAATACTCAATACAGTGTATACCATAATACTCAATACAGTATATACCAAAATACTCAATACAGTGTATACCAAAATACACAATACAGTGTATACCAAAATACTCAATACAGTGTATACCAAAATACTCAATACAGTATATACCAAAATACTCAATACAGTATATACCATAATACTCAATACAGTGTATACCATAATACTCAATACAGTGTATACCAAAATACTCAATACAGTGTATACAAAAATACTCAATACAGTGTATTGAGTATTTTTGTATACACTGTATTGGGTATTATGGTATACACTGTATTTAGTATTTTGGTATACAGTGTATACCAAAATACTCAATACAGTGTATACCAAAATACTCCTTCTCTAGACAGGATCACTCCTTATGTTTCTAATCAATGACAATAAATACACATATATTTATGTATCTTTTTCCACTTTGCTTTTTACATACACTTTGTCACAACTTAAACATCAGAAAATGTCATGCATTTAACCCGACTCCTTATTTAAAATGCTTTCAAAGGAGATAGGACTCGCCACTGTCTTAGACTTATTTCCGACAGGGTTGTTCAGTGTAGTGTATTGAACAGCTGACTGTGATCTGGATACAGTCAACCTCTGATATAATGCCCTCATTTAACATCTTGCCACCTTGCTTACTGCCAACATATTTCAAGGTCCCTTTTTTTTTCTTTTCTTTAAGAATTTCTATATACAATTCCCCCAATTTAGTGCCAAACCCCTTTATAATGACAACATTTCTCTTAACAAATGGTGGCAGTTTACTGTATTTCTATCTGCCATATCTGACAACTGACAATAGTCCATTTAACACAATTCTCCATTCAGGACCCCTCTCAATTACTTTGAATTTAATAATATGCTATAATTTGAGGCTGCTAAAATAATTACTTTAAAAGTATCTTGTATGAATGTGATGATCTTTGATGCATGCGAAATGTATATAATAATCCATAATAATCCATGTACTTTTAGATCACCATTATGAAATGTTTGCAAACCACATTCAACCTGGAACACTACCCAGGATACCACAAACACACTAGTTATTTTTATGGGTTTATTTTAATAATCCTGACATCAACATGAAGAAGAATCCTAATATAATCCAGCTGTCACTAAATCGATTGTTTCAGAATTATCGTAGTAGTTTGGCCTTCGACTATAAGGCCACTTTCCTGTGGATCCAAGGTGATAAATTATTCATAAAGAATGTAACAATGAGGAGTAACTAATTAGAGCTGTCACCGAGGGGGTGACAAGCACCGTGACAAGCACAGTGACAAGCACCCTCGGTGACAAGCACAGTGACAAGCACCCTCCGTGACAAGCACAGTGACAAGCACCCTCCGTGACAAGCACCATGACAAGCACCTTGACAAGCACCCTCGGTGACAAACACCGTGACAAGCACCCTCGGTGACCAACACCCTCGGTGACAAGCACCGTGACTTGTTTATGGACTGATGGACGGACAGACAGATGAGCTGATTCTAGTATTCCCCCTCCCCCCTCCCCTACCCCCCAACCTTCGTTGCGAGGTGGTAATTATATTGGAAGATTTGACTCCTTGTGTTTGGGGTCACATGTCAAACACTACAGACCAGACAACCAATCACAACCTGTACTTACCTTTGATGATGGCGGTGCGCTTCTTGTTGTGTAGTGTGTCCGCCACCTCTCTGGCACACTGCAGACAGTGACGTACCTGATGCAGCCATTCCGTGTCATCCAGTCGGGACATCCAACTCGAGTCCTGCACCAGGAAATCCTTTTTTGTCTCTGTGGACACAGTGCAAACATCAATTCAGTCACATATTTGTTACCTTTAATCACTTAACTTTCAGGGATAATAATTTCTATGGTTCAATCACTGGTTCAAACATTGGTTTAGTTTGTTTGTGTTTTACGTCCTGTTAACAGCTGTGGTCATTTAAGGATGGGCCAGGTATTGGTGGTGGAGGAGTTCCCGGAGAAAAATCACCGACCTACGGCCAGTACCTGACGACTGCCCCAGTAAGATTTCTGTCACGTAGATTTCACTGCATCGTTTTACACTAAATGGTATACAGGGGAATCTACATATCTGTATTGATGAAACTGTTCTCATGCTCAAGCATGAATTCTGTGCTCAAACTGACTTCCTTGTAACTTGCTTAAATCATGAAACATGGTCAAAAAGTCAAGTGTAAACACTGAAAATAGTATTCAGCTCAAAGTCATTCAAACTTTCTTACAAAACATTGACAGAATAGATTTTTTTTATTAATTTATCACTGGCACAAGAAATTGGGCTTGAGCAGATAATCTGGCTTTAAGCATGAGAACGGTTTCATGAGTATGGCCCGCAGACTCAGTTTATCAAGCACTGTCTACTTAATGCCATGTTTACAATATTTAGCATTTTTTTTATAAATTTAAAAACAAAATATAAACAAGAGATTCCAGAGCGATCTTTGTGCAACATCTGCCTTCATGGCAGCAATTTTGTGATATTCAAATATTTTTCGGCAAAGGAATATAGAATTTGACCTCCAAGACTTCAATGGACACATTGAGTCAATTTCTACAACATTCATTCATGTTATTCTTACACGATGACATAAAGATATTCAATCTGAACTTTATGACCTTGACCTTTGACAATGGCACCTTGACCAGACACCAACAGGCCAATCATCAACCTCAACAAAGTTACTTCATAATGATATCATGTAATATAACTGAGAAAAAGATATATTAAATTTTCCACTTTCATGACCTTGACCTTTCACCATATGATCTTAAATGACCTCACACACAGAAGTAGGATACCATCCTGCCTAGTATTTACTTCCTGACAAAAATTGAAAAAGAGGGAGGGTATCGTTCACATCAAGATGAAGGACCAAAATAATCAAAGATAGTCTGCTTTGAAGTTAAAGACGATTTCAAATCCAGTCTTACCAATAAGGCACAACTCTTTGAACTTCTCAAAACTCTGCTGGACATCCTTGATAGACGGACACTGTTCCCGTAGGTCAAATACAACCGGTTTTCCAAGATGCTGGTCAGCCATCTGGATCGCACTCATCATCCTGTAATCATAGTATCAATTTATCAAGGTCAAGGTTACGTAAAATTCTGATCTCCAGTATATCTTAAATAATTAACAACAGGTACTGGATAAAGTTTGAAGTTATTTGCTTAGTACAGCTATTAACTGTATTTCAGCTAAAACTATTTCATTCATTCATACCAGTATGAACATTCTGTTAGCATTACAGTTCAACATTAATACTGGTGTTGAACTGTATGTAAGCATAATTTCAGTAATTTATCAGCATGAACCGTATGTTAGGATTAAGTAACATATAAGTAATTTATCAGCATGAACCGTATGTTAGGATTAAGTAACATATAAGTGATTTATCAGCATGAACCGTATGTTAGGATTAAGTAACATATAAGTGATTTATCAGCATGAACCGTATGTTAGGATTAAGTAACATATAAGTGATTTATCAGC